GTCTTCCGTGTTTGCCTACCCTGTGCTCCCCCACTTACCTCTCATTTCCTCTTCTGTGGCTGCCCGTGCTGTGCTCCCCCTCTTACCCTTTCCCCTGTCCCCGCACTCGTCCTTCCTCCTTTTCCACAGCCCCTTTCCAACCACCCCTTCCTCCTCTCCTCTCCCCTACATCTATCCGTTCTCACAAGGCCTATTTACCCCTTTTGCCCTTCCCACTTTCCATTTCTTTCTTCTCTCACTTCTTTGCTCCCACGTCAGACTGTTGACACATACTACCGTCGTTGCGGCTCGGCCCAGTTCCTTCCCGAGGTGGTGGTGCCGCTGCTTGCTGTGAGCGCACTGGACGACCCCATCTGCACCCAGTAGGCCATTCCCTGGGACGAGGCCAAGTGAGTGGGAGCGTCGCTTTTTGACTCGACTAAAGAAGTATTACTTTTGAGGCTATTTACAAAAAGTGACCATTCAATGAGAGGAGGCCAAGTGAGTGGGAGGCGAGGAAGGGTGGAGCGAGTAGAGCAGGAGGAGAAGCGGTGTGAATGCAAGGGAAAGTAGTCCCTGTGCGGACATACCATCATACTTTGGTTGATTCACACCACACCACACGCTCCTTCCCATAACTGCATTCCAGAATAGCTTCTACTGTGCCTTGCCTCACCCTCTCTTTATTCCTTCCTGCTTCCGTTGTGAAGATTGTAAATTGAACAAGTAATTGGATTAGAGGGGAAACCTAGCATACATAGTTGGAAGGAAGGGTTGGAGGGGACGGATGACCCTAACCATAGGTTGGGTTGACCTCACTTGGGGAAGTGAGGCAACCATGGATGAAGTGGGTTGGGTTGCCCACCCACTTTGTGGAAGTGAGGCAACCTTAGGCCCACTTGGCTTGAGGTGACCTCAATTTGGGAAGTGAGGTACCCAAAAAGTCAAGGGGGTTGCATTTGGGGGCTCCACCACAATTGGGTGGATTGGCACCCCAAAGTGCAAGACTACACCCAATGTTGGGTGTAGTTCCAACCCAACTGTACACCACAATTGGTGTACAGTCATATGTGCTTAGCATGCTACACAATATATTTCTAACACAACCCCTTAGCATGCTAAACACAAGAAGAGAACAACCCCTGAATCAAGGGGCGCCCGGGCGAGCGAGACCAATGAGGCGGAGGAAAGCGGAGTGCGCAGGGCGAAGGAGGGCCTTGGTGAAGATGTCGGCCAAGTTGGCCTCGGTCGCAATTTTGCGAACGACAATATGGCCCTTTTGGACAAGCTCGCGAATGAAAAAGTAGCGGAGCTCGATGTGCTTGAAGCGGGCATGATAGACGGGGTCCTCAGTGAGATGGATGGTGCTGGCATTGTCGCACCAGAGAGTGGGGCACGTCTGGGGAGCGCCAAGCTTTGCAAGAAGGAAGCAGAGCTAGCGGGACTCCTGAGCGGCCATGGTGCCGGCGTAGAGCTCGGCCTCGCAGGTGGAGAGAGAGATGGCGGAGGAGCGGGTGGAGCGCCAGCTGATGAGGCCGCTGCTAAGGGTGAAGCCGTAGCCCTGGGAGGAGCGGCGGTCCGGCTACGTGTCAGCCCAAGAGGAGTCACTGAAGCCCAAGAGAAGAGGAGGGGAAGGGCCGCCAAGAGTGAGGGCAAGGTCCTTGGTTCCGCGAAGGTAGCGGAGGACCCGCTTGGCAGCTTTCCAGTGCTCCTCAGTGTGGCGACCGGTGCCGACGAAGCGAGCGAGCACGCTGATGGGGTAGGCGAGGTCGGGGCGGGTGCACATCATCGCGTACATCAGGGACCCAACGAGCTCGGCATAGGGGTGGGGGGAGGAGGTGGGAGAGGTGGGTGGAGCGAGTTGGTGGCCGAAAGGGAGGGGGGTGGAGACGGGCTTGGCCTGCGCCATGTCGAACTTCTCCAAGACCTAGCCGATGTCGTGGGACTGGGAGAGGGTGATGGTGCGAGCAGGGCGGTCACGCGTGATGGCCATGCCCAGGTAGTGGGTGAGGGCGCCAAGGTCTTTGCACTTGAGACGCTGCTGCAGGGACTGCTTCATCTGCTCCATGTTGGCCTTGGTGTCAGAGAGCAGGATCATGTCGTCCACATACACCAAAATGAAGAAGCGGCGGGGGGAGGAGCGGATGAAGAGGCTGGCGTTGGAGTGGGAAGCAGAGAAGCCGAGAGACCCTAAGGTGGCAGCCAGCTTCGCATGCCACTCGCGCGGTGCCTGCTTCAAGTCGTAGACAGGGCGACGCAGCTGCCAGACGGTGTTCTCAGGGAAGGCTGCGTGGAACCCGGGTGGTCGCCGGAGGAAAATGCGCTCGTGCAGGTCGCCCTGCAGGAACAACGCATTGGAGACGTCCATGGAATCGATTTCCATGTAATCACGCGCACCAATGTCGAGGGCTGCGCGAAGGGTGGGGGGTTTGGCGGTGGGGGCGTAGGTGGCCCAGAAATCCTCCCCATGCGTTTGTGTGAAGCCCTTGGCGCAATAGCGGGCCTTGTAGGCCGGTTCCTCGTCCGGCAGCTGCTCCACCCGAAAGACCCACTTGCCCTCGACAAGATTGGCATCGGCGGGGAGGGGGACGTCAACGAAGGAGTCGTTGCGGATAAACGCCTCGCACTCCTGGAAGATTGCCGCTATCCACTTGTCCGCGTCAGGGTAGGTGATGGCCTCTTGGAAGGTGGAGGGAGTGAAGATGGTGGGGGTGGAGGCGGCGCCAAGGACGGGGAAGCCAAGGAAGTCAAGAAAGAGGGTGGCTAGGAATGGAGTGTGCTGCTGGATGGTGAGGAACTCCTCGTGAGAATCCTCAAGGAGTTGAAGGGAAGGAGGAGGAGGAGGGGTCCCAAGGATGCGATCCAGGGAACGGGTGTGCATGCGGGGAAGGAGAAAGGGGGAGGAGCGAGAGGTGGCGCGCTGTTGCTGCGGGTGATGGTGTTGCTGCCCCTGCTGAGGCCGCTGCTGCTGCTGCTGCACCGACTGCTGCTGCTGCCATCCCGGCTTCTGCTGGTGCTGCTGCTACACCGGTTGCTGCTGCTGCCATCCCGGCTGCTGCTGCAGCTGCCCCGGCCGGCTGCTGCTGCTGCTGCCCCGGCTGCTGCTGCTGTTGCTGCTGCTGCTGCTGCTGCTGCTGCTGCTGCTGCTGCTGCTGCTGCTGCTGCCCCGGCTGCTGCTGCTGCTGCCCCGGCTGCTGCTGCTGCTGCTGCTGCTGCTGCTGCCCCGGCTGCTGCTGCTGCGGCGGAAAGGCGGGAGAGTGATGGGAGGAGGGAGGGGAGGGAGGGGATGCAGCTGAGTGGGCGGGGGAGGCGGGTGCGGCGGGGTCGTAGACGTCGGCAGATGAGGGAGGCGGGAGCGGAGCGGCGACATGTGGGAGGAGGGGAGCAGGGGGGAGGAGAGGCGGGAGGACGGTATCGGTCCAGGCGAGGGGCGAGTGGGAGGAGGGAGAGGATCAGGGGGAGGAGTGGAGTAATAGGGAACGGATTTGTCGAAGACGACGTCGCTGCTGCGGATGAGGCGATTGGTGGGAGGGTGGAGGAAGAGGTAGCCTGGGGAGTCGCGGTTGTGCCCAAGGTGAACGCATTCCAGGGCGCGAGGAGCAAGCTTGCCAGCGGCGCGGGAGCGGTCGGCGGGTGGAATGAGAACGAAGGCCTTGCAGCCCCAAACGCGAAGGCCGGCAGCGTCAGGTTTGGCGTTGGACCAAAGCTCTGTGGGGGAGGAGGAAGGATGCTGAGAGTGGGAGCGGAGATTGAGGAGAAGGGCGGCGTGGAGGAGGGCATAGCTCCAGAGGGAAGGAGGGGTGGAGGTATGAGCAATGAGACAGCGAGCTATCTTGGTGATCTCACGAATGCGGTTCTCAGCAATGCCGTTCTGCTGAGGGGAGTGGGGAAGGGTGGAGGTCTGTTGGATGCCGAAAGTTTTGCAGTATGTGGCGAGAGTGTTATTGATGAACTCACCCCCACCGTCAGAGTGAAGGCGGCCGATGTGGCGTTTGAAGTGATTGCGGCACAGTTCGGCCCAGTTGATGACCACTGCCGGCACCTGGTCTTTCGTGTGAAGAAAGAAGGTGGTGGAGTACCGGCTGTGGTCGTCAACGAGGACGAGCATGTACCGATGCCCCTGGCGGGAGCGGATGGGATAGGGGCCCCAGAGGTCCATGTGCACAAGGTCAATGAGGGCGGCGGCGAAGGTGGGATGACTGTGGTGGGGGGACTGTTTGAGCTTGCCGTGACTGCATGAAGGGCACGGGGGAGAGGGGGAGGAGGGGAGGGGGGGTAAAACGGGAGGAAGGCTGCGGAGGAGGCGAGAGGTGACTGTGGTGCGAAGGGCGGTGAAGTTGGGATGGCCGAGTCTGTGGTGTAAGAGGACGGCAGGGTGCGAGAGGGTAGTGGAGGAGGAGGGAGATGGGGTGATGGAAGGGACGGGAGGGGAGGAGGAGGATGGTGGGGAGGGAGAAGAGGATACTTGAGGGGGAGGGGAAGGGGGAACTAAAGGAGGAGGAGGTGGACCGGTGGAAGTACCGGCACGGGTGGTGACGTGGCAGAAGGATGGGCGAGGTGTGCGGAGTGTGTAGAGGCGAGTGCGGGGGCAAAGCGGAATGCGGAGAAGGAAGCGGCCAGAGGAGGTTTGGTAGAGATCACACTAATTGGCATAACCGGGGTAAATGGCGGTAATACCAACACCTTGGAGCTCACGGTGGGAGAGGAGGTTGTTGCGGAGAGTGGGGATATGAAGACCTATGACCTTACCGGAGGGGAAGGTAGTGCAAGGGAGGGTGGAGAGGTGAGTGCATGGAATGGAAAAGCTGGAATCAGCTCCATGAACCTGAGTGGGAAGTGGTAGGGCGGTGAGAGTGCCAGCGTCTTTCAGTGCGGTTTCAGTGGCCCCACTGTCAAGGACAAATTCCAGGGTGGGGGAAGAGGGAGGAGGAGGTGGCACGGGATACTGAAACGAAATCTCATTGATAGCAGAGGGATACATGGCAGCGACGGACGGTGCAACACTGACATTACCAAGGAAACTACCCGAAGTGTCGGGGACGCTGGGGGGGGCAGAGAGGAGGGAACCCCAGGGGGGAGGGGGAGTAAGGGAGGCATGAGCGGCCATGGCCGCTGTGCCGAAGGTAAGCGGCTGCTGCTGCCAGTGTGGCGGAAGGAACTGCTGCTGCTGCTGCGGCGGTGGCTGGAAGAACTGCGGCGGCGGCGGCTGCTGCGGCTGGAGAAACTGCGGCTGCTGCTGCTGCTGCTGGTGGAAGTACTGGTGCCGCTGCTGCTGGTGCTGCTGAAACTGCTGCAGCTGCGAAGGTGGGGAGGGGGTAACCAGGCGGAGGTGAGCAGGAAGGAAAGAGGGGAGGGTTTGAACATCCGCCAAGGAGGGGCGAGGGGTGACAGAGTTCCAGCGAGGAGGGGTGCCAGTGTTGCCTCGATCAAACCAGGCGTCGTCGAGTGCCTTGAAGCACGTGGTGGGGGGGTGGTTGGTTTGATCGCACGGGGTACCAGCATGGGGACCATGGCGGCGAAGATACGTGCATGGGGGTAGAGTTCCAGGGCGACCGCCTCGAGTTACAGCACCACCAGCACCGGAAGATCCTCGAGCAGGGGTGCTGCGAGCACCACCACCACCGCCACCACGGCCACCACCACCACCACCGCCCCCACCACCGCCCCGACCTCCACCACCACCGCCACCAGCGCTACGACCTCCACCGCCGCCGCTGCGACCACCCTGGTTGCGCGGCTGCGTAGCATTGAGGGAGCTGGAGGAGGAGGACTGAGGGGTGGTAAGGTTGACTATGGGGGTGCGGAGCTTGACCTCCGTGTCAATGATCCACTGGACCACGTCGTCGAGGCCGGCCATGGGGTTGGCCTCAGTGAAGGCGTGGAGGTGGGACTCGTAGTCTGGGGTGAGGTTGTAGAGGAGGCGATGGATTTGCAGTGGCTCGGGGAGGGCGGCTTGGCGTGCCGCAAGGCGATCAGCGACCTCCTGCATGCGCCCCACGTAGTCAACTGCGCCGTCACAGGTGGCGAGGGTGATGTAGAAGTACTCTTGGAAAAGGGCGTCGACAGAGCTGATGTCGCGACGCTCAAACATCGCCTGGAGCTCGGCCCAAATGAGGGAGGCGCGGATTTCGCGAGCTTGGAAACGGCGCATGAGGGTGTCAGGGAGTGCGCCGAGGAGGATGGCGCAGGAGCAGTTGTCAGCAGTGGTCCATGCGATGCTCTTGGGGAGGTAGTCTGCCATGGCCGTGGTATACTCATTAAGTAATGCCAGGCGAGTGGCGCGCTCTGCTGTTGCAAACTCGTGATGATGCACCGCAAATTCATGCTCTGCCTTGCGGATGAGGTACTCGCGGCGATTGTGGAGGAAGGTGGCATCGGCGGCAGCCTGGAGCTCCAGGGTAGTGGCGATCTCCAAGGTAGGTTCAGGAGGAGGAAGGCCAGGGGGAATGGGGGGAGAAGGGGGTTCACCGGGGTGAGTGGGGGCAGTGGGCTGGAGAGCGTGCGGGCGGCGGAGGAGGACGTCGAGAACGCAGTACGGTCCGACGAAGGCGTCCTGGAGGACACGGCGGATGCTCCCGACGAAGGAGTGCCAATTGACAGCTGAGCGGTCCGCGGCAAGCTGGAGCTTGTCGACGGAGGAGGCGTCGATGGGAGGAGGGAGGGGGAGAGGGGCAGGAGGGTCGGTGGCCATGTGGGGGACGGCGGCGGGTGGACCCGCGGCGGCCACGGAAGAGGAGGGGGGGGGGGGGGGGGGGCGGGGGGGAGAGGGAGAAGTGCTGCTGCTGAGGCTGGCGCACTCCTCCGGCTGCTGCTGCTGCTGTTGCCGATGCTGCCGGTGCTGCCGCTGCTGCTGCTGCTGCCGCTGCTGCCGATGCTGCTGCTGCCGCTGCTGTCGGTGCTGCCGCTGCTGTCGCTGCTGCCGATGCTGCTGCTGCTGCCGCTGCTGCCGATGCTGCCGCTGCTCCCGATGCTGCTGCTGCTGCCGCTGTTGCTGCTGTGGCTGCTGAGCTGTCCCGGCTGTTGCTGCGTGGGAGGAGAGAAGGAAAGGGGGAGGGGGGGGGGGGGGAGGGGGAGGAAGAGCGCAGTTGCAGCTGTGGGCGGAGCTGTTGCTGCCAAGGCCGCTGCTGCTGCTTGGTGGAGCGGCTGCTGCGGCGGCGGAATCTGCAGAGGGGTGGCGTGGGCAGGCGGGGACAAGCAGGCGATGCGGCGGGAAGGGCAGGAGGCGACGGTAGGGACGCGGTAGCGGAGATCGCGGGAGGCTGGCGGTGTAGTCGCGGCGGCGGAAATTGCGGCCGGGTGGTGGGGCAGTAGGAGCAGCGGGATGCGCGGGCGATGACGAGTAGATCGCGGCGGCGGGATGCGCGGGCGGCGACAAGGAGGTCGCGGCGGCGGGGTGCGCGGGCGGCGACGAGCAGGTCGTGGCGGCGGGATGCGCGGGCGGCGACGAGCAGGTCGCGGCGGCGGGATGCGCGGGCGGCGGGAGTTGCAGGCGGCGACAGTAGGTCGCGGCAGCGGGACGTGCAGGTGGCGACGAGCAGGTCGCGGCGGCCGGATGCGCAGGCGGCGACGCGAAGTCGCGGCGGCGGGACGTGCAGGCGGCGACGAGTGGGTCGCGGCGGCGGGATGCGCAGGCGGCGATGGCAGGTCGGGGCGACGGGGCGTGCAGGCGGCGACGCGAAGTCGCGGCGGCGGGACGGGAGGCGACGACGAAGCGTCGCGGCGGCGGGATGCGCAGGCGGCGCCGAGGAAGGCGCAGCGGCAGTAAGGGGAGGCGGCGACGTGACGTCGCGGCAGCGGGAGGGGCAGGCGGCGACAAGGCGTCGCGGCGGAGGGATGCGCGGGCGGCGCCGAAGCAGGCGCGGCGGCGGGAGGGGGGAGGCGGCGACAGGGGGTCGCGGCAGGGGGAAGGGGAGGCGGCGATGAGGCGTCGCGGCGGGATGCGCAGGCGGCGCGGAGCAGGCACGGTGGCGGGAGGGGGAGGCGGCGACGGTGTGTCGCGGCGACGGGAAAGGGGGGGGAGGCGGCGATGCGCTCGCGGCGGTGGGATCCGCAGGCGAGGAGGGCGCAATCACGGCGGAGGGAGGGAAGGGCGGCGACGGCGTAGGTCGCGGCGAGGATATGCTAGGTTGAGCCACACGTAGGAGGGGATTTGTGGCTGTGGGGTGGGCCCATGGGAAAGAAAAACTTGAGGGAGGGAGAGTTAAGGCTTAGGAACAACTAGCTCTATACCATGTGAAGATTGTAAATTGATCAAGTAATTGGATTAGAGGGGAAACCTAGCATACATAGTTGGAAGGAAGGGTTGGAGGGGAAGGATGACCCTAACCATAGGTTGGGTTGACCTCACTTGGGGAAGTGAGGCAACCATGGGTGAAGTGGGTTGGGTTGCCCACACTTTGTGGAAGTGAGGCAACCCTAGGCCCACTTGGCTTGAGGTGACCTCAATTTGGGAAGTGAGGTACCCAAAAAGTCAAGGGGGTTGCATTTGGGGGCTCCACCACAATTGGGTGGATTGGCACCCCAAAGTGCAAGACTACACCCAATGTTGGGTGTAGTCCCAACCCAACTGTACACCACAATTGGTGTACAGTCACATGTGCTTAGCATGCTACACAATATATTTCTAACATACGTTCCTGTCTCTCCTCTCCTCGCCTCTACTCAGGGCCAACTCGAACGTGGTGCTGGCGGTGTCACACCACGGCGGGCATCTGGCGTACCATCTGTCTTACTGCTCCCCTGTTCTCTCCCCTCCCTTTTCCCTCCCTTTCCCCTCCCTTCTCCTCAGAGCCAACCCAAACGTGGTGCTGGCGGTGTCTCACCACGGGGGACATCTGCCATACCTGCAGGGCCACACTGCCAGCAGCATATGGTGGGTGGGTGGGCAAGGGGTGGTGCGCGTGGCATGGTGTGTCTGTGGGGGAGGGGTGTGTGCGATTGGGGGCTGGCAGTGTCACACCACGGCGGGCATCTGGCGTTACTGCAGGGCCTCATTGCCAGCAGCATATGGTGCGTGTGTGGTGGGGTTGTGTGTGGTGGGGTTGTGTGTGGTGGGGTTGTGTGTGGTGGGGTTGTTGTGTGGTGGGGTTGTTGTGTGGTGGGGTTGTTGTGTGGGGGGGTTGTGTGTGTGGTGGGGTGGTATATGGTGCAGTGCCGTTGCTAGCAGCACGTAGTGTATGTGGTATATTGCATCTGGCGTACCTCCAGGTACTCACTGCCAGCAGCATATGGTGGGTGGTGTGCTGGGTGTGTGGGGGTGTGTGTGTGGGGGTGTGTGTGGGGGGGGATGTGTGTGGGGGTGTGTGTGGAGGTGTGTGTGTGAGGGTGTGTGTGTGGGGGTGTGTGTGGTGGGGGTGTGTGTGTGGGGATGTGTATGTGGGGGTGTGTGTGGGGGGGTGTGTGTGTGAGGGTGTGTGTGTGGGGGTGTGTGTGGGGGGGTATGTGTGTGGGGGTGTGTGTGGGGGTGTGTGTGTGAGGGTGTGTGTGTGGGGGTGTGTGTGTGGGGGTGTGTGTGTGGGGGTGTGTGTGTGGGTGTGTATGTGGGGGTGTGTGTGTGGGGGTGTGTGTGTGAGGGTGTGTGTGTGGAGGTGTGTGTGTGAGGGTGTGTGTGTGGGGGTATATGTGTGGGGGTGTGTGTGTGGGGGTGTGTGTGTGGAGGTGTGTGTGTGGGGGTGTGTGTGGGGGGGTGCGTGTGTGGGGGTGTGTGTGTGGGGGTGTGTGTGTGGGGGTGTGTGTGTGGGGGTGTGTGTGTGGGGGTGTGTGTATGGGGGTGTGTGTGTGGGGGTGTGTGTGTGGGGGTGTGTGTGTGGGGGTGTGTGTGTGAGGGTGTGTGTGTGTGGGTGTGTGTGTGGGGGGGTGTGTGTGTGGGGGTGTGTGTGTGGGGGTGTGTGTGTGGGGGTGTGTGTGTGGGGGTGTATGTGTGGGGGTGTGTGTGTGTGGGTGTGTGTGTGGGGGCGTGTGTGTGGGGGTGTGTGTGTGAGGGTGTGTGTGTGAGTGTGTTTGTGTGGGGGTGTGTGTATGGGGGTGTGTGTGTATGGGTGTGTGTGTAGGGGTGTGTGTGTGGGGATGTGTGTGTGGGGGTGTGTATGTGGGGGTGTGAGTGTGGGTGTGTATGTGTGGGGGTGTGTGTGGTGGGGGTGTGTGCGGGTATCAATTGACTTCCTACAGGCAATGGTTGGCACACGCTAGGGCATGCGATGATATGGACTTCTCCTTGTCGCCCTCCCTCCCGTTCCGCTCCCCTCCCCTCCCCCCCAGGTGGGTGCAGGTATCAATAGAATTCCTACAGGCAGTGGTGGATGCACGCAAGGCAGGGGAGACAGTGGGGCATGTGAGTGCAGTGTGTGGGGCATGTGAGTGCAGTGTGTGGGGCATGTGAGTGCAGTGTGTGGGGCATGTGAGTGCAGTGTGTGGGGCATGTGAGTGCAGTGTGTGGGGCATGTGAGTGCAGTGTGTGGGGCATGTGAGTGCAGTGTGTGGGGCATGTGAGTGCAGTGTGTGGGGCATGTGAGTGCAGTGTGTGGGGCATGTGAGTGCAGTGTGTGGGGCATGTGAGTGCAGTGTGTGGGGCATGTGAGTGCAGTGTGTGGGGCATGTGAGTGCAGTGTGTGAGTGCAGTGTGTGGGGCATGTGAGTGCAGTGTGTGGGGCATGTGAGTGCAGTGTGTGGGGCATGTGAGTGCAGTGTGTGGGGCATGTGAGTGCAGTGTGTGGGGCATGTGAGTGCAGTGTGTGGGGCATGTGAGTGCAGTGTGTGGGGCATGTGAGTGCAGTGTGTGGGGCATGTGAGTGTTGCACTTGAAGCATGCCTCACGCCCTTTCACGCTCCATTCCACCGCTCACCACCGCACTTTTTTATGAACTCACCCAGGCCACCACTCCCAGTAAACGCCCCTGCTTTCTCAGCAACAATCGCCCTCCCCTTCACCCCCATTTCCATACCATATACCGCTCCCCTTTCCCTCTACTTCTTTTTAATCGACTTTAAATCATCCTCATATTATGGACCCTTCCCCTTTCCGCCTTCTCATTCTTTCCCATCGCTGCCCTCTTTCTCTGCATCCTTATGCGTTTCCTCCCCCCCCTCTGCTCTTTTCCCACCCCTGTACCCACAACCACAGGCCCTTCCTCTCTCCTCAACAGGAACAACCCTGCCCCCTCATCCCCACCCACACATCATGGAACCCACCCCTTTCATCACCTCCACCCCCTCCTTCCACTCTGTTGCTGCTTTAGGCACCCTCCCTCTCCCCTCCTCCTCCTCGCCTCTCTCCCCCTCCCAACCCTCCCTGGCCCGTCGTCGAACTCCTTCGTCCCTTGGAAACATCTCGGAGGAGGATGCTCGGGAGGAGAGGCTCGGCGTGCCGAGCCTGACGGGCAGGGGCGGCAATCGTGGCGGGCCGATTGGGGTGTTTAGCATCGAAGGGGAGGAGGGAGAGGAGCGTGGGAAGGTTGGGAGTGGTGCTGCTGGTAATAATGCCGCTGCTGTTGCTGCGGCTGCTGCTGCCGCTGCTGCAACTAATGGCTCCGTTTGTAATGGAAGGATGGAAGGGGGGGTTGCTGTGGAGAGTGGGTGTGTGGAAGGAACAGGGAAGACTTGTGGAGGGGAGAGGGGGGGAAGTGAGAGGAGGGAAGTAGAGAGGGGGGAAGGACGGGGGAAGGTTCAGTGTGTGGGGTCTGGTGGTGGTGTGATGGTTGGGAAAGACGAAGGGGGGAGGGGAGTGGGGGGGGAAGGAGGGGGAGAAAAGGGGGAAGAGGAGGAGGATGAGGATGAGGAGGAGGGAATGAGCACTGTAAGCATGTCCGTGCTGGCAAGGACTAGAGACGGAAGAGAGTCTGTTATTGACGAGGATGAGGGGAAGGAGGGGGAGGTGGGGAGCGCAGTGGGCGAGGGGGGAGGCGAGGACGAGTGGGAGATGGGCCCTGCAGGCGCCATGTGTGGGAAGGAAGACCTGCGGGAGGTGGTATCTGGGACAGGGAAAACCGGGTCTGCTATCTGCAATGGGGAGGATTTTGGTGGAAGAGGAGGGGTGGAAAGGCGAGGAATTGGGGGAGCGGGAGGAGCTGGAGGAGCAGGGGGAACGGGGGGGGCAGCAGGAAGAGCAGGAGCAGGGGGGGCAGCAGTGGTGCAGTTGCGGTTTGAAAGTGAGGAGCAGCTGAGAGTGGCTGCAGTAGTGGTCCGAGAATTGATGAGCAAGGTATGGGTGGTGCAAGGTGTGAGCAAGGTGAGTAAGGTGAGCGATGTATGGCGGGATGAGGAAAGGGGTGTGTGAGATGAGATGCGCAAGGTAAGGTGGAAGGGATGTGTGACTGGCATGGTGTTTTTGTATTTCGTAGCCTCCTGTCTGCTCCTGAACCTTCTTTGTTTTGGCAACTCGTGCAACCAATGCCTCCCTTTGACCCAGCTGCAGCTTGCCTGCCTGCTTGCCTCGAAAGTCCTTGTAGGCAAGCAGAAGCCCTTGCCTCGAAAGTCATTATAAATGAACTTGTTCATTTATAATGAAGAAGCTTCCACGCTCAACACTCTGCCCTCAGAATCCCTTGTGACGCGCCTAAAAAAAAAAACACTCTGCCCTCAGGAACCCTTGATCGCTCATCATCTCGCCCAACCACGGCCTCCTCCTCATCTCTCCCACTTCCTCTCACCACCCACCTCTCACTGCTTTTCTCATCGTGTGTGGCAGATCCAACGGTGCCTAGAATCATCACCACCTGGTGAGCTGCCTTCTTTCCTTCGTCCCTCCCTCCTCTCACTCTCTCTTTCCTCCTTCGTCCTGCTTACTCTCCATCTTTCTTGCTCCCTCTCTCGTCCACCCACCCATCCCTAGCCCCCTTCAGTTCTTCTCCTTCTCCTGTCTGTATCTTTGGTTGTCTCTTAATCGCTTCCGCATATTCCGCAGCAAGACCTTTGCCTTCTAGCATTCTCCTCTTCATACCCTTCTGCACATCTTTCGTCTGAGCTGCACAGGCATCTCATACTCTTCTCCTCATCAAGTTCACCTCTTCATCCCCGTCCCCTTCCATTTCCCAACATCCTCTCTCGCAGCTCTTCAGTCGCCCCTCTCCGCTCGCCGATACTGTGCTCATGTGTCAGCAAAAGGTATGATCAACGGCCATGGCTTGCCAGCACTTTCCGTCCCCTCTTCACTTCCTCATCCCCTCTTCACTTCCTCATCCCCTCTTCACTTCCTCATCCCCTCTTCACTTCCTCATCCCCTCTTCACTTCCTCAACCCCTACCCTCCCATGGCGGATTCATGTCCATTTCTTGCACCATCCCTCTTCGAGTCCTCTCGTTCACGTGCGTATGGATCTCCCTTTGCCCATCCATCATAGCTACTACTTAAAAAACCACCAGGGCCTTTTATCCTTTCTCTCTGGCTCTCCCCCTCATCCCGCACAGTCTGAGGACGCCGAGCCAGCAACAGCCACCCACCAGCACAACCTGCACTTGCCGCACCACCCCCCCGCCTCCCCCTCTCACGCACCCTCCACCGACCTCTTTGCAGCTACAGCTTCCCCCAGTTGGGCAGGTGCAACCTCCCCCAGATGGCACCTGGCCTATCTCGCCCTTACTGTCGCCTGCCCGCTGGTTGCCAGTGCTGTTGCGTTTCGGCTGTACCGCCGCCGAGCTGCAGCGGGAGGCTCGGGGAGCTTGGGCTTGGCTCGGCTGGCGTCAGCTTTGGGAAAACTGTATTACTTGTACCTATGGGGTAGCAGGCTGTTTAGTGCAGTGCAGTGCGGTACAAGCTGATAGGGTCCCCACCCCAATTGCACCCAGTCTCCCATACGGTAGCATCACGGACTAATACCTCGCATCGGAGCCAGTTTACTTGCAAAGATTGCTGGCAGAACTGCAGTGTTGGGGGGTGGTGGTACTGACAACTGTTAAGAATAGGAGGCTAAGTAAAGCCTAGGGGTTAGGCTTAGGAAGGTAGCGAGAGGAAATGCAAGCCAAAAAAGGGGCTTCACTAATGAGAATTGAAATACAAATATGCAAACAGCAACACAAGGAGGTGCACCGCCAAACATGGTGCAATATCTACACTACAACTGCAAACGATTATATAAAGTATGTAAACATATTTTGACACGCACCCATAATTGTTTGCAGAAGTGTAAAACGCCCCCTAATGGGGTACACCAGGAGTGCAGCGGAAGCAGAAGCAGGCAAAAGCAGAAGTAGCCGGTGCAGAAATGACAAATACAGCTTTAGCATACCCTCAGCCAAGGCAGAAGCAGTACCGTCATCGCTCTGATAGAAGACATATATGTCTTATCTTATACATTAGAAAAAAAGCTTGCTGTGCCTTGTAATTGGGACGATTGAGGGTGTCTTATAATTCTTATAAATGGACAAAAAACCGTTTTGAAGATACCCCCTCGTCATAAGATTGCCCCTAATCCCTATACTGGCTTAACTCGTACACACCGACAGGTGTCTTATAATCAGGAACACCCATCTATAAGATACACCCGTTTTAACGACACCCCCTGTCTTCAATTCGACACTGTCTTATATCCGGGCGATGACGGTAGCAGGTGCAGGGGCGGCAGGTCGCATGAGGAGCAGGCTCTGTGGCTGCAACGTGCAGCAGGACAGCAGCGGCTCGACGGCAGCACCTGAAGGCCCCAGCAGCAGGCAGCAGAAACAAGGGCAGGTGGCGGCAGGGGTGGCAGCAGGACGTGCCACGGCAGCAGCGGGTGGCAGCTGCAGATGCCTGGCTGACTTCCGCCACCCTCTCTTACCCTCCCCCCCCAAAGCAGCACGAGCGGCAGTGAGAGAGAGAGGAGGGGCGGCTGCTGGCTTTGCAATCTCTCTCGCCATCCTCACACACTCCCCCCGTTTCCCCTCACCCTTCCCCCGCAACCTTCCCCCCCCCCCCCCCCCACGGCGGAAGCCGCGGAAGGGAGGGGGGGGGATGGGCTGCCGATGGCGCTGGCGTCCGCGCTGGCGTCCGCGCTGGCGCCTGGAGCTGGCGTCCGCGCTGGCGCCGGGAGCTGGCGTCCGCGCTGGCGCCTGGCGTTGGCGTCCGCGCTGGCGCCTGGCGCTGGCTTCCGCGCTGGCACCGGGCGCTGGCGGCCGCGTTCGGCGCTGGGCGCTGGCGGGGGGGCAAAACGACGCCGCATATGAAGCCGTCGCGCAACTCGCCATCACGAGCAGCGTGACGGACGGAAGCTGCGCGACGGGCAGCACCAAGCAGGGAGCGACTAGGGGGGGCCATTAACGAAAGTGCAGGCCTAGGCGAACCAGGCTCTAAATACCATGTTGAGAATAGGAGGCTAAGTAAAGCCTAGGGTTTAGGCTTAGGAAGGTAGCGAGAGGAAATGCA